CGATTTACTTAGTAAAATTTTGACTTTACTATAGAGTAACTACTGACGATCATTAAGTAGCTTATTTTCAGGTATAAAACATTTTTATGTTTTTTTTCCAAAAAAAGAAGGTAGCTTATTTTCGGTAGTAGCTTATTTTTGAACAAATATGGTATATCTATTAAATTTCTCTCACTTTTATATAAGAAGCATCTCTTTCTAAATTGATTTTTCTCATATTACGATGGCAAACCCATTAGATTCTATAGAGTTTTCTGATTATGAAACTTCCAGATAACAGAACAAACACAATCATTAAAAATACAAACCTCCTTAGATAGTTTCTTTTCATATGAGAGTATTACTGAAAATGAAGGTTCTAGCTCTGAAGAACCTGATGATGATTTAATTTATGAACAATATGAAGCTTTGACAGAAGCATTTTCATCCACTACTATATCTCGTTCTTTACAAATATTAGCAAAAAGAAAAAATATAATACCTACTTATAGAAAAAAATCAAGTGAAAGCTAGATATGGAAATATACAAGGCATGATAAAAGTACAAAGTATAAATACTGCATAGTAGAAGTAGATGATGGTAATAGTAATATTAAGCAATATATAACTACATTTAAATCTAGCACTTTAGTTATTAACATCACTTCACATTTACGTACTATACATATTTTTTAAAATTTTATTTATGAAATATATTGCGGTTTTGCTTATCTAAACTATATATTTGAAATACTATACATTGGAATATAAATAATTTTATTGATTTAGAACAGCTAATGTTTATGATTCAAATTTATTATAACAAATGGCTTGCCAAAATCATATACATTACTTGTTTTATATTAAACCCTATGCTTGTTATATATTATTTATTTCTTGAATTAAAAGAAGAATTTATTAGAAATAATTTAGGTTTCTAGTTTCTCTCTAGCAAAAATCTTATATAGGGGTAACTCAGCAACTTGTATAATTTACAAAAATTTTATCCAAGTATAATTGTTATGATTTATTTAATTTATTTGATTGATTTATAACTATCCAATTCTAGTCGTATTATATTATTAAGTAATTGGTTGTTGTTTATCATTAATATAGCTAATTAAAAACGCAATATGAATAAATATACAACTTACTTTTGTATTACTTTATTATTATAATCAAGTGTATTAGATATTGAAATATTCTCAAAATCTGATCTTACTGATTAATAAATACAATATATTTTTGTAAAAGGTTAAATATATCTACATGTTTTGATTATAATTAATGATTTTTAAAACAAGTTTAATTTGATACTAAAATAATGATAATATATTTTACAATTGTATATTTCTATAAAAAGTTAAATATAAATAATATGTATTACAATTTTCAAAGCAAGTTTGATACTGAAATAATGATAATATATATTTATAATTATGTATTTATATAAAAAGTTAAATGCAATTAATATGTATTATGATTTTTAAGAGAATATCAGATGAGCTAGTTCAAATCAGCCTTTAGTCAACTAAACCAGTTTTTTGAAAACTTAACCAACTTAGCTGGCTAAGTTGATTAAGTTAACCAAAATCAAATCGACTAATATCTTTAATGATAATTCTAATATTTATATAAATATTTTGATCTAATAAAAATACTGGTAAAACTGTTAATAAAAAAATAGATATATATAGTCAATTCTCTTTAAGTATATCTCATTAAAACTAGACTTTTAGCAATATATATTAAGAGAATAATTAAAAAAAATATATTTATAGAGATCAAATATATATATAAGCCCATAATTTAAATCTGTATTTAAAGAGAACATGTACTTAAAAAATATATATTTATAAGAAGTTGACTAATATATAGTTAATAAATAAAGTTTAATAAAAACTAAATAAAAATAAAATATAAATATATAATTATATTAGCATAGCATATAGCAGATTTAAACTTTAGTAGAAGTTCAAATTGTTAACTATTTAGATTTAAAAATAAACTAATATAGCAAATTATTTTAAGTATTCTGAAAATAGCTAAATAAAATCAAAATATTTAATTAGATATAAAATATAAGTATAATTTATAAAACATAATTAAAGCTATACAAATTTATATATTAGTTTTATAATATTTAAATTTTTTTTAACTTACCTATTCAATTTTTTTTATTTATCAAAAAATTTTATATAAAATAAAATTTTAAGTTTTAAAAGTCAAATCTAGAACTTGACAAAAAATTAAAAATTTTATAAACAATCTTATTAAAACTAGAAATTGAGAACCAATATAAGTCTGAAGTATTACTATATTTGGGGTCTATTAAAGTCAGATATATTTGGTATAAACCTGGAGTTGCTTAAAACCATATGCATCACATAATATAGAGCCAATAAAATTGTTTGTTTTGATCGATACAGATCAGCTTGATGAAAAAAAAAGTGAAAAATATCAAAAATATTATTAATAAAAAATGTTAAAAAGGCAATTTTACTATAAAATTTACTT